TGCTGAGTTTGCTGATCTATTAAAGTGCATGACAGTTTATTAATTTAACGGGTAAATACACCCTTCCCTTCAAACACCTCACTGAATTGGTTTATGGTAAAAGTAATACAACTTTATTAACAAAATAGCATGGATTAAATAATACCCAGTAAAGGAGATAAAGGGTAGAGATGGCTACAAGCAAAAGTGAAAACATGCATCTAAGCATGTAAAATGTTATTTAGCACAATAGTCTTTATTCAAGATGGTTCCTGTGGTGGGGGTGGGGGCCCACTCTGCATCTCCTTTCTAGCTTTTTCCTGGCCAGGAGCCATCACAGAGATTAAATCATTTGGTTTCTTTGTCTCCTTAATGTGAAGGATCAAGATGGAGTCTCTCTCTCTCTCTCTCTCTGTTCATTATATTCCTAAGGGGCTGTCTTTGTCTTACAAGTCTGAAAGGCCTCCTGGGGATTAAATCTCCTGTGGGGTGCTGGAGCCATTTTAACTCTACATCTCTCACGTTTAGACTCAGGATAACCCCTGCTGGTTTAGCTTGATAGCTTTGTTGGCTAGGACAGACCTGTTTATCACTTTATACCTAGGCTAGGCTTTCTGGTCTTAAACTTTGTTCTAGTAACATCATATAGAGAGAATCCACAGTTTCATGTATAACGTTAACACATGCATTTAACAATTATATCAATAACAAGCATGTTAGCTTTCATATACCTCATAAGGCCAATTTTATACAAATATTGCAGTAGTGTGTATATAGGGTATCTAGGATGTCTTCCGTTCCTAAATGCTTATGCTTCAGGGTTTCAGCCAGCCACAAGCAGGGGTCAGAAAGGATTTCCATCCCTCTAAGTATTCTGTTTTTTGAATATCCTTCCTTTGAAGCATCAGGGATGGCCCCAGCTAGAGACAGGACATGGAATGGGGAGGGCCAGTGCTCTGAGATTGTACTGAGCATATTCTCTCTCTCAGGGGCTTGGCTGGCTGGTTTTTACTCACATGCTTGGTGTCTAACTGATCGCCATATGTGGGGTTGGGAAGGAATTTTGCAATGACTTTAGGGGTTTTTGCCTTCCTCTGCAGCTGATGCAGGTTGCTTGCCAGGATCATCTGGATATATATAACTTAACTTCCCTGCCGTTGTGGAGGCCTTACTTACTGGTGCTCCTTGGCCACTCCTGTTCTTTGCCTGTGGCAGATAATAGTTCAGTCTCCTGTGCGCTGTAATATTGTGTAATTTTGGTTGTTGGGTTTAGTGTGCAGGTGCTGGGTAGTGTTGGTGGCCTGTGGTATACAGGAGGTCAGATTAGATCAGTGGTTCTCAACTTTTCCAGACTACTGTCCCCCTTTCAGGAGTCTGCTGTGTCTTGCATACCGCAAGTTTCACATCACTTAAACTACTTGCTTAGAAAATCAGACATAAAAATACAAAAGTGTCACAGCACACTATTACTGAAAAATTGCTTATTTTCTCATTTTTACCACAATTATAAAATACATCGATTTGGAATTGTGATAGACCCAGACCAGCTGGGAACAGCAGAGTAGTCGAAGGCAGATATACTGGCCACTGAATAAGCAGTTTTCTGTTCCCTGACTGACCAGAGTAGGGGCTGCTCCAGGCTAATGAGAACACCTGACTCCAATTAACCTGCTAAGAGTCAGGTGAGGCTGTTAAGCATCTGACTCTAATTAAGGCCCCTCTGATGCTATAAAAGGGTTCACTCCAGTCAGGCCAAAGAGAGCCAGGGAGCCAGAGGAGAGGAAGTGCAGCTGAAGGGCTGGTTAATGAAGACACCCTCAAGTTATTGATAAGGGAGCGCTAAGGTAAGGGTGAAGAAGGGAGAAGCAGGAGAGCTGCGGGAAAGTGGCCCAGGGAAATGTAGTAATTCTGGCAGTGAAAGGTTGGCTGCCAGCAGCTGCTACCATTAGGGTCCCTGGGCCAGAACCTGGAGTAGAGGGTGGGCTCGGGTTCCCCCCAACCCACCACTACAGGAACACCTCCTGGGAGGGGAAGACAGGCCCTTGTCAGGACAAAAGGCTAAACTGTTTTGGTATGAGGCCGTAGGAGCAACAGAGACTGTGGGAGTTCTCTCACCAACCTCCTTGCTGGCTTATGATGAAAAGGGCTCAGTAGACTGTATCCCTGGCCCTAGAGAGAGAGAGAGGCCACGTGGAGGGTTGCAGTGAGCCTCTGAAGCTAGCATAAACCGCCTGGAAGTGCGGGACCCACGGGGTCAAGGTTGGAGCTCTGCCACAAATATAAATAATATTATTTACATTTAAGTGTGATACTTGAAATTGTTTTTCACTTGTGAGCCTTGTCTGAAGCCTGAGCCCCAAGTGGCAGGGCTGAAGTATGTAACTTAGATTTGCAGGGCTCCCTGGGGTGTGGGGGCCTGGGCAGTTGCCCTGCTTGCCACCCCTAATGCCAACCCTGCACTTACAATCGAACCTAAACCTGTCCCATGACCCCCTTGGGGGCTGTGACCCACAGGTTGAGAAACACTGATCTAGATGAGCTGAGTCCCCTCTGGAAGACCTCTGTGTACCCCCAGGGGTATGTATACCCCTTGTTGAGAGCCACTGAACTAGATGGGCTGGTGGTTCCTTCTAGCCTTACCCTCTGAGGGTCCCGAGGCAAGGATGCAGGGTGTATCGTGATAGCCCCAGCATGAGCCAGGCAATTCTGGTAGTAGATTTATCTGATCAACACAGACCCCAGTCACTTTACCCATTCCACCTGACAGTCTCTTAGAACAATGACCCAGCATCTTTACACCTGATAGCCTGGTTGCTGTCTGAATTAAGTATACTGAAAGACGCTGTACAGCTGAGGTTCAGAACATTCTACTCCAGAACAGGAAGCCTTTTAATCAAATTGACTTACAGAACTAAACTAAGAGATTTTTCCATCAAGATATCTCAGCAACAGCTTTCACCACTGACCTCTCCAGTTTCAACAATACTGGGCAACTTATTTGAAAGCAATCTGGACTCTTCATCAACTCAAAATAAGAGTTCATTTTGCAGAATTATCTATAAGCCATGCTGTCTTCACATCCTACAGTAACAAAATTCCTGAGGGATTCATGCATGTATTTCCCCCCTACCTCCCGATTTGGGTGCTGCCTCCCTCCTTTAATCTGAATATAGGACTAGCAGTGTTCTTTGAGCCCTTAGTAACCTGCTCCCTTTACGACCTCTCAATGAAAACTGATTTCCTGGTGGATGTTACATCAGGTGGGAGGGTAGGAGAGATACAGGCTTGTAAGTCAGGTCCCCTGTCTACGGTATTTCAGAATGATGGGGTTACCCTTAGACCTCACCCAAAGTTCCTGCTCAAGGTAGTCTCAAAATTCTATATAAATTGGTCTGTTCACCAAGTGACTTTCTTTTCAAAGATTTGCATGCTAGACAGTGTCATTTTATTTAGATAAATTAAAATTGTTCAGGAACACAACTAGGCTATTAATGACATTTGACAGACAAAGGGCACCACCATTCACTTAAAGGTTAGCCGGGTGGTTTTTTGACTGCATAAGAACTTATCAGTTAGTGAGGAAAAATTCCCTGACCATACTAGCGCTCATTCCATTAGGGCTTAAGCTTCCTTGGCTGCCTGTTTGGGTAGTTTCCATACCTGAGATGAGTAGAACAGCAATGTGGAGCTTGGTCCACACATTTACTGCTCACTATTTCTATTATCAGAGCACCAAGAAGCCCTAGTGCAGACCAGAGGTTTGGATACCATTTCTGTAGGGCTGTCCTGCATGACTAGTTAAAAAAGACTGTCACAGGGTGACTGGCCCCTTTAAGTGGAAGGGGTTCTAGTGCATTTGTGACTCATCAGCTGCCTCCTAAATATGCTTAAAAGAGGAAACCTGGGCCTAGTAAGTGGGAGAGCAGCTAGCAAGGGTCACTCAGGAAAGGGGCAGGTGAGAGCTGCCTGGTTCAGGCAGGAAAAGGGCAAGTGTGAGGGTTCTCTGGGAGTCAGGAGACTGGAGGAGGTCTGGGGAAAGTTGCAGAGAACTGAAAGCTTTCTGCTGGCCCTCCCTGGAAAGAGAGAGAAATTGCAAGAAATCACTGGAGGAGCTAGCTTGCTGGCCTTCCTGAGCCATGGCCAAAGAAGGCTGGAGAGGGCTTGAAGGCTGAGAGCATCAGAGGGAGAGCCTACTGGCTCTCTGAGCTGGAGAGCTGAAACCATAGGGCCAACGAAGGCTGAAGGCTTGGGTGAGGCATGGTTAATGACCCCAGAAAAATACCTGGGAGTGAGGCATGGTGTGGGATGCTGGAGGTGTACTGAGATACAGATCATGGTGAGAGACATTGGGACTGTTTGTTGATGGAATGTTGGCGAGTTGGTTTGTTATGGTTTGTAGCATGGAGTTTGCTTTTGTAATAAATTAACCCTGTAAGGGAGCGTATGTATACTTGGAATGCTTTTGTATATTTTTGGGAACTATTGAAAGGGAAATGGAGGCAGAAGCATAGGTTGTGCTGTGACATGCGATAGGATAGCACTCCAGGCAGGGCTGCCTTCTGATAGACTCCTTATACCCACCTGCAGGTAAATAGACAACTGTTTGTTAATCACAAAGAGTTGAATCTGTGTGGGCAATCACTCAGAGAGCAGATACTTACCCTACAGTAACACTGGTTCTTCAAGATATGTTGCCCACACTGATTCCACACCTGCTCTCTGTCCCTACTCTGAGTCTGTATTTGCGAAGAAACTGAGGCAAGGTTGGGCCCACTCTGCTCTTTATATTCTGGGGGAGAGGGAGATATGAGGGCATAAAAGCGCAATCCTGGCCCCATTAGACACTGCTAGCTAAAAAGAACTTCTTGAGCATATGAAAAGTATGTACATCAAACGTGAAATGTGTGTGTACAACACCTCTTAAAGAACCAGTTACTATAAGGTAAATGTTTTTTTTGTTTTGTTTTGTTTTTTTTAAAGAAACAGATCTCATAATCTCTCATCTGTCTTCTTCCTTGCAGTGTGTGCACATGTTTTCGGTTGCTGAGAGAGATGGATGTTAACATGGATACCATAAGCACTAAAGTTGATAGTAATGTATCACGACTGAATAAGAAGTATGATGTATTATCTGCACTATATCACAAGTTTGAAAGGTAAAATTCACAATTTTTTTGTTTGAACTGATGGATTCATTTTTAGCTGACAACATTTATTTTGATTTCTAAAACATATGTACTAGACGTGCCCATCCTAAACTTTAGGCATATTTCCCAGTATCTTAAAATCAGTTATGCAGAAACACTATAATGTTTACACCATAACTATTATACTGCATTATAAGACCATCCTGTTGTTGCTTCTGTTGCTATTATTTGTACTATGGGAACACCAGGGGCCTCCAGCCTCCTTTTTTAGGCATGGTACAGATAAACTGCCCCTGAAAACCTCACCACCTAAGTAATCTCATTCAGTTCACATCCCATCCTCTCCCCAAATGCCTGAGAAAAATGTTGAGATTTGAGGGTCCTGAGGCAAGGATACAGGGTGTATCATGATAGCCCCAGCATGAGCCAGGCAATTCTGGTAGTAGATTTATCTGATCAACACAGACCCCAGTCACCTTACCCATTCCACCTGACAGTCTCTTAGAACAATGACCCAGCATCTTTACACCTGATAGCCTGGTTGCTGGCTGAATTAAGTATACTGAAAGATGCTGTACAGCTGAAGGCTTATGGGAAATGGTCTGTCAGCAGCTCCCTTCCTTGTGTATTAAGGGTGTGAGCCATTTGTCATGATGACATGAGGAAATAGACAGTCTTGCATAACTCTAACCCAAAATTAAGTGTTCTGTGTAGATCTTTTTTTTTTTTTTTTTTTTTAACCAACATAGGCTGCTTTAGAGAACTCTTAGAGTTTTGATATTTCTCCAAAGACAGAAATACAGGCAATTTGCTATTCTTGAGTTTATTGGGACAGGATGAACTCTCCTAACGCTCAAAGATTTTTGCTCTGTTCAAGTGCTAGTGTGTACCTCATGCCAGTACCTCAACCTCTCCTTAGAATACTCTTAAATTCCTTTCTGATTGCAGTCTTCAGTGAGAGGTACTTCACAGCACTGAGCATCAATGCAAGAGGGCCACAAGTCTTGTGGCATCGACAGAGTTGCTACAGTGCTAAAGTATTTTTCAGCTTTGTGACATTGAACTGTTATGGTCTCTTGTATCAATGCATCACCAAAAAATGTCCCATGGCTCTAAAGTATCCCTTTAGGATGACTGTGAAGGTGTATTGTATGGATATCGTCAGCCATTGGGGCACAAGCAACCAAACCAAGCATAGAGACAGGGCCACTGAATAGCTATAAGTGATTTCAGTCTTAAGTTCTTGGTGGTCTGCATTTTCATGTTTGTTAGCTGTGAAATTCAAACATACTACTAAGCTGGCTGCCTACAGGTTGGCTTTTATCTCTTGCCCATGGTATATACTGTTCTTGCTCTCCTCCCTTCCTTCCCCCCTCCCCCATCATATTTCTCCTCCTATGTTAGGCAACTATTCCTTTCATGTAAGCAAATTCTTTTCAGTTGCTTAGCAACACTCCAGCAGGTTTTGCTGCTGCATGTCCTATTGATACTCCCCATTGCCTAAAGGGACATGATAGATTTGCTTTCCTAAATGGGTAATATCAATTCTTTGTTCTTTAAATCTAATCCAGTATCATTGCATTGATGGTCAGTATAGAAGATGGAAAGTCCTAAATATTTTTTCTCAGACCTACCATAGGTAGGGTTGCCAACCCTCCTGGTTTGGCCAGGAGTGACCCAGAATCGGGCTTGATCTCCTGGAGGCTACTGAAGCCAATCTGGGAGATTTTAGGCCACTAAATGTCTGGCAGTGCAGCGGGGTTAAGGCAGGCTCCCTACCTGCCCTGGCTCTGCGCCACTCCCGGAAGCAGTGATATGTCTGGCAACGCCTCCTAGGAGGAGGCGCGGCCAGGGGGGTCTCTGCACGCTGTCCCCTGCCCTGAACGCTGACTCCACTCCTTCCATTGGCTGGGAATGGGGAACCACGGCCAATGGGAGCTGTGGGGGTGGTGCTTGCTTGCAGGCAGGGTCAGCGCGCAGACACCTGGCCGCCTGTGAGCCTAGGAGCCGCTGTCTGACATGCCGCCGCTTCCGGGAGCCACCTGAGGTAAGCGCCCCTGGCTGGAGCCTGCACCCCAAACTCCCTACCTCACCCCAACCTTCTCCTCCAGCCCTGAGCCCCCTTCTGTACCCAACCCCCCTCCCACAGTCCATACTCCCTCCTGGAGCCTGCACCCTGAATCCTCCCCCGTATCCCAATGTCCTACCCCAGGCTAAGTCCGGAGCCCCCTCCCACAGTCCGAACCCTTCAGCCCCAGCCCAGAGCCTGCACCCCAACCCCCTGCCCCAGTCCCATGAAAATGAGTGAGGGTGGGGGAGAGTGAGCGACTGAGGGAGGGGGGCTGGAGTAAGTGGATTGGCGAGGCCTCAGAGAATGGGCAGGGCAGGTGTGTGGCCTTGGGGAAGGGGCAGGGCAGGGCAAGGTGTTTGCGTTTGTGCAATTAAGCAGTTGGCAACCCTAACCATAGGTCTTTTCTGAAGTATAAAAATGTCACTTAATCTGCATATTCCCTTTTTCCTTTTAAATCTTGCCCCTGAATATTTGTCTGGTGTCTTTCCCCACCCATTCCTCTTTTTTTTTTCCCCCCTCTGACCTTTTTTCTGTAAAATGTTTATACAATGACATTACAGAAGAAGAGACTGTGAGGCAAATTACAAAGATAAAATTTAAAACAGTATTGCCAACCTCAAGCATTCAAAAATTTGAGTTTGACTCAATCATGAGGCTTTACAATTATTATTATTACTATTTTTTTAAAGGTTTTTGACTTCTGGTTCCTGAGCCTTTAGGTTGCACACTTGGGTCATGTTTTAGTGGTTTCTATTCTCCCCCTCAACCATGAGGGCTAGGGCAACTTATTTTTAAAATGAGAGTTGTGAGTCTCTTTTAATTGCTTGACTCCAAGAGCCTGTGGTTTTAAGAAGAAATTGATATGGTAAGACTCTTTCAACAGAATCATGAGATGGTAACATTGATACAATAAAGACTGTGAAACAGTCTCAAGACACATTTCATCCAGTGGTTTGAGAATGTACTACAGACTCTACTATTTATTTACAAGACATTGGAAAATAACGTGCATGTAAATCCTGGCTTTCTGGAAAATGTGATGATTACTTAATAGATCACGTTTTTAAATTGCTTTATTATGTGAGGTTTGATATAAGCATTCCAACAAGAGCTGCTCCTTGTAAAACTACTAGTTATAAACAGCCCACTTGTAAAACAGATTGGCAATGTTCTTTAATTACAATAACTGACGTTTTCTGAGGTGGCCTTTGTTTCAGCTAAATACAGCAGAAATACATAATGCTACACATTTGTTGTAGATTGAGAAAGATATGCGAAGTAAGGAACTGAATTTTTTTTCTAGGACTTGTGGACTTATCTACATGATACAACCCAGCAGTCAGTAAGTTTGACTTTTATCATTTATATATATATAAAATTTAGGAGGCAATCCAAAACATATGTTAGTATTTTACTTTTCTAACTACTTATTTCTAAAGTGTATACAAAAAAACCCAATCTATTGATGGCACCAATATGTCATATGACTAGTTTAGATTGAGCAGGGACTTGGGGAGTTTCAGTGGGAAATGAAGAAAGTTGCAGAAGTGATATACTTGGTCAGCGTATTGATGGTGCCACTTGCACCCTGAATATCTCCACCTGCTGGTTTATGGATCAGCATGGAAGAAACTAACAGTGCCAGGATGTGCTTCATAAACATAGTAATAGATGAGAGGAAATATTGTCTGCTCCCGAAATTAGATTGAGTTAATGCTGTGACTGGAGAATAGGACCTTTTTGTCAAAGACATGAGCAAGAGAAAACTACTCATAATAATTTGAGTAAATTATAAACGTTCACTTCCTTCACCCAGACGTTAATGCTTAGAATTTCTTGAATGGAATAAGAACAATTAACCTTTCCATTTCAAAATTTGTTTGTTCTTTTAATTCCATTCAGAATGTATTGTGATCTAATAAACCTTAAAGTGTAGGAAAACTTTGTGTTGCCCTAAATGAATGCGTCCACAGACTCAAGTGATTCTCCAGAGACTATATTCAGAATTGTTGTAGAACTGTTGCTGCGAAATTTTTACTACTTTGTTGTCTGTGTATAGGACTTCTGCTGAATTGAGTTTCCCATTGGTTCTGAAAACTTCCTGGATCACTTTTTTGTTGGCGAAAGGTAAATTATGTTTATAGTAGAATTATTTTAATTTCTTTTAATGGAGTGAATTTATAAACTTTTTGTTTGATATCTCCAATACAAGAAGCAAGACCCTGTTGGCTGTTCTCTTAGCTGGTATTATGGACTGGGAAGTTTGAATATGGTATGTGATATCTTTCCTGCCTTTTAGGAGGCTGTTGCTGTTCTGGCCAATTGGATTTAAGGGTGGAATGTGTGGGGTTTTTGTTTTTTAAATAATTGCCCCTATTTCATGGAAATGGCTGCCTAAAAGTGACCAGTATTTTATTTATATATTTTTAAATGGACCTGGAGAAGTTTGTAAAATTGTTTCTTCACTGTGGTCAGACTCACTCTGTGAAGGGCTTGGGCCTTAGTTAAGGATAGGAGGCCAACACCATATTGTTATAGCAGTACAATCAGCATCTAAAGCCTCTTCTACTCCAGTGGTTCCCAAACTTTAACCTGTGAACCCCTTTCACTAAAATGTCAAGTCTCATGAGAACCCCTTCCTAAAAATGAATATTTCCAGGGACTTTCTCGTTTAACTGAGTATAAATTATAAAAGCAGTGATCTTGGAAATATAAAATTTGTTTTTATGACATGCTTATTACACACTAATTATTATTAAGTGTCCCTGGCCTCTGTTCCCAGAAGCTGGGAATGAGCCTAAGGGGATGGATCACTTGATGATTACCTGTTCTGTTCATTCTCTCTGGGGCACCTGGTACTGGCCACTCTTGGAAGACAGGATACTGGGCTAGATGGACCCTTGGTCTGACCCAGTAGGGTCATTCTTATGTTCTTATTTATTATTACAGTATTTTTATTACATTATGAAAATGGCAACACTCTTCCAAGATCTCACTTTTGTAGCTTGTATCACTTTGAATAAGCCTGTTATAAGACAAGGCTCCTATGTTTCATCAAAGAGTATCAGATATGAAACAGCATGAAGGTATTTAAGAAGCCAACTCAGAGTTCCTCCTACACAGGCATTCAGGTCTTGAGCAGTCCAGACTAACAATGCACGTTACAACAAAGCTTAAACTTGTTCGTCATCATAATTTTAAAAACAATACTAGCTGCCTATTTAATTTTAAAAACAGCAAAAAATATCCATCTCCCTTTCCATTTCTTATAAGGAGTCTTGAAGTTTAAATCTCCTCAGTGTGATAGATACGCTTTCTTTGATCCTCTTAGCTCTTGGAAGTCCAGGGGCTCCGGGCTGCTGGCCCTGTGCTGCCCAGGGTCCCTAGGGACAGCTCTGTCCGCCATTAGGGAATTTTTTCCCGAGAACCCCCTGTAACATTTCGTGAACCCCCAAGGGTTCTCGAACCCCAGTTTGGGAACCACTGTTCTACACTAAAGAATTTATTTAAAAAATCTTCATTGGTCCAGAATTAGTTCATTTGCACCAGCGGGAGCCCTAGTGTATACAAAGCTCCTGTGTTTACAACTGTCAATAAAACCTGCTTAGGAGCAGCTGAAACAATGGAGTTTTTGTTTCCTCCTAAAATTCTTGAGTATAGCCATAAAGTAAGGCTATGGGAGGTTTTCTGCTTTGCCTTTTTGAGAGTCATGAGGAAGGGGTAAAATTCTACCAGGTATAGGAAGGTCAATAAAAAAGTTCTGTAAGAGGTTTGGAAGTAGATGAGCTCAGTCAAACTGAGGCTGGAAACGAGCCTAGGTGGTAACCTTCTAGTCCTAGTGGTAAGGATAACTGTTAAACTGTAGACACCGTGTACTGTTAATTTTTCAAGTGCTGTTAATTCTTCTACTTCTATAACTTGTAAGTATATCACCTATCACAAAGACTGTTTGGACAGCCTGACTAACCTGAGCTTGGAATATAACAATTGCTGTGCTTTTAACTGACTGTATAAATGAAGAGAAGTTAAGTATTTTTTGTAAAACCAAGTTTAAGTAGTAATTGGAGAACAGAAAAGGGGGAAAAATTACATAAATAGAAAATAGTGATGCATGAAGGCAAAGTAGTTGTCAACAGTGTCCTTCTTGAGTGAAAAGTGTGTGTGGGGAGAAAAAAGTCATGTCCTGGAAAATAAGAACTTCATTCACAGTTTAAGAAAAAAATATGAATTAGCTATGTATGTTCTTTCCAGAGTGATAAATCCTTACAAATCATGCATGGCTAAATACATCAAACTTCAGACATGCTCACATCCTAGGTGACGTTTTCTAGAATCCATTAACAGTGGTTTTGAGGTGAAACCTTCTGTCAGGAATAATTTTATTTAAACTCCAAGCATTGACTCATAAAGTCCTTCTTTTTTTACATTTTCAGGAAAAGTATTGCAAATGGAAGATGACCTGGTGATCTCTTTCCAGTTACTGTTATGTGTCCTTGATTATTTTATCAAACTATCACCACCGGCAATGCTCAAGGAGCCATACAGTAAGGATTTTAATCTTTTATGTTCAGAAGTTTAAAGTTCATAAAGAAGTCAACTTCAGTCTCCTTAGGGCCTTCAACAGTGCCCACACTGAATGCAATAAATCTTCTGTCTATCTTAACTTACTTCACAATTGTATTTAAATTTTGGGTTATTGAATGAAACAGAACATGGCAATATATTTAATGTATAAAGTCTTTCATTACTACTACTATCCCTGCCCTCCCTTTACTGCCTCCCCACCCCCACAGGAGTATTGTAATGGCTTGGTAGTATATCAGCAATACTGCTACCGAATATACAAGGGACTTGAGAAAATGGATTGAAAAGCATTATTTAAATTTTGATTGAGATATTACATAAATGAAAGAAAGGTGGACGGTGGCATGATTTTACAGAGCTTTCTTGATGTATAGTAATGTGATAACATCACCTCATTGCAGAATTTTCAACTACGGTCCAGTCTAAGAGTATAGGGGACAGAATATGCAGCCATGAAGAGGAGAAGGAAAGAGGGGTGGGTAGATGGAGTAAACGGTGGTTGGAATCGTAATTCAGAATGAAAAGGTGTATACAGAATGTTGCTATATAGGTACTGTTGTTCTTCTTCGAGTGATGGTCCCAATTGTAGTCCACTGAGGATTTACACATATGCACCATTCATCTGAAGCTGGAGAATTTGAAAGTAGTAGTGTCCATTGGTCCGTGCATGCGCCCTTGGCTTTACCTCATGGTTTCGTCTGAGGTGATGGTGGGATGGACCAACCGCATCTCCAATTCCTTCTCACCACATTGCATCCAGGTGCAGTCCTTCCCCAGCCTTACCCGAGAAGGCTGGGCTGTCCACCTCCGGAAGCACCTCATGGAAGTTGCCATGAGACCTCATTCTGACCTAGGCTGGGCAGCTCCCCGGTACATCGGCCTGAGAGAGAGCTAGGAGTGTGCATCCAGCTACAGAATCTGAGTCTGGCACAGGCAGACCACCACTGTGGACCCCGTGCTGGGGCCTAGTCGGGAGGTAAGGAAGCATGCACATAAGCATGGCAGTAAGTTTTCCCCCAAACCTAAGAGAGGGGACACTCCTTCCACGAGTTCCAGTCATGGGGAGGGAGCATGCTCTAAAACACAAGACGAGACAGCACAAGCTGACAGATCTGCCAGTATCCGGTACTGAACTGCATATCCTGTCAGTATCGGCACCCCATAGATTGCGAGAACTGTCGGCTCTGGGGAAAACCACCGCTCTGGTTCCCGGTGAAGAAAGAATACCCTTAATACCAGGGAAGTCAGGAAAAGTACCAGCACCCCCAAGAAGTATTTGTTCTAGGAAAGCTGAGGTCTCCACGCCTTCTGGAGCCTTCTACTTTTAGGGAGACTATATCTCCCACTCATGACATGCCACAGCTGAGGCACCCCATGCTCCGATGGCCTATATGCTTCCACCAGCTCCGACGATACTGCTGATGGAACAGGTGTCCAAGTCTTCATCTTCGGAAGAGTCGGATGGGGTCAGGGACTGTCCATCCATTACCACCACTACGAATATCCAAGGAGCCTTCTATATTGTGGCAATATCCCTCCATTCCAGCCACCACAGAGCCACTGGTTCCATGGGGCCCACTATAACATCCTTTGGCTCTGTCATGCTGGCCTGGATCTCCTGTGTAGAGTGGCAGGAGAGCTTCACATCCCTCTGGAGGAGATCCAAGGTACTCAATGTAAGGTTCTGGACATCTTTCACTCATCAGCACTGGATAGAGTTATTCTGCCAATTAACAATGTCACCCTCGAGCCAGCTAGAACAGTTTGGCATACACCAGTCACAATACGCCTACCCTCAAGGGGTAGAAAAATGCTACTATGTACCAGTTAAGGGATCTGAGTTTCTTTTCTTGCACCCCCTCCCATCCTCAATTCACTTGTGGTCTAGGTAGTGACGGAACAGTCCATACAACAGTGCCCATGCTCCATTTAATCCAATAAGGAGGGCAAGCGGTTGGACCTTTTGGCTCACAAGGCCTTCTCCTCAGCCAGCCTTCAATTCAGGATTTTGAATGATCAGGTATTACTTGCCAAACACAATTTCCTGAATTACAGCGAACTAGAGGACTTTGCTGAAAAACTGCTGCAGCAAGACAGGACCCACTTCTGGCAATAGAGGAAGGGAAATTGGTAGTAAGGACATCCCTTCAATCAGCTGTGGATGTGGCAGATACTTCATCGCACTCCGTGGCTTCAGGCATTGTCATGCGGAGGGAATTGTGGCTCTGTTCCTCTGGTTTCCTCAGGGAATTGCAAAATACCACTGAAAACCTGCCTTTCAAAGAATCCCATCTTTTTAACCAGAAAACTTATGATTTTTCTCCATGCCCTCAAAGATTAGAGAGCTACACTTCGTACCTTGGGTATTTACACACCTGCTCCCAAGCATAAATTCTACTGTCCACTGCCCGCACAATGTTACAGAACCTCCAGTTTTTCCATCAGAGGCTGTACGAAACACCACAGAAGTGTCAAAAGACTCAAAGATCTTGTTCTCCAGGTCCACCTTCACAATCTTCTTCCTGCCAGATGCAATTCCCATAGAAAAGATCTTTCTGAGGAACTCTAGAGCAGGGTTCTCAACCTTTTTCTTTCTTGGCTCCACCCACCCCCCAACATGCTCTAAAACATCCATGGCCCACCTGTGCCACAACAACTGTTTTTCTGCATATAAAAGCCAGGGCCAGTGTTAGGGGGTAGCAAACAGAGCAATTGCCAGGGGCCCCATGCCACAGGGAGCCCTGCAAAGTTAATTTGCTTAGGCTTCAGCTTCAGCCCCGGGCGGCTGGGCTTAGGCTTTCTGCCCTGGGCCCCAGCCCCAGGCAGCGGGGCTTAGGCTTTCTGCCCTGGGCCCCAGCAAGTCTAATGCCGGCCCTGGATGGCTGACCCCCTGAAACCTGTTTGCGGCCCCCCCTAGTTGGGCCCCAGACCCCTGGTTGAGAACCACTACTTTAGAGAGCCTCGCTTACTGCCATAGAACCACCCCACTCCTTTCAGAGGTTGTCTAGCACTCTTTCTATCAGATTGGAGTGCAATAACAATGGACAAATGGGTGCAAAATGTCATCCACATGGCTATATAATTGAGTTCATCATGCTATCTCATCCACAGCCTATCCCCCCTGAGGGATCACTCTCACGACAACATCCTCACCCTAAAGGTGAATTCCTTACTACAAAGAGGAGCTATATAATGGGTTCCTCTGGAATACCAAGGGATGGGGTTCCTATTCAACTTCCTAATACCCCAAAAGAAAGGCGGATGGAGACCTATTCTGTTCCTGTGCCTTCTCAATTGCTTCATCCTCATGCCCAAGTTTCGTATGGTCAAGTTAGCAGCGATCATCTCATCATTAGAAAAAGGCATGTGGTTAACAGCTCTCAGTATGCAAGATGCCCACTTTCACATAGACTTTCATACAGCCCACGGACAGTACCTGAGGTTCATGGTCAGCTCACACCATTTTCAGTACAGGGTCCTTATATGAGGATTCACCACCACTCCCAGGGTCTTCACCAAGGTTTTCTCAGTCATGGTGGCATACCTCAGGCATTATGGGGTCCTTGTGTTCCCTTATCTTGACAATTGGCTCCTGGCAGCACGATCCAGATGCGAAGCCCAAGTTTCAACCTCCATGTAGCTCAGCCTCCTTTCCTCCCTTGGATTCAGCATCAATGTTGAAAAATCAACCTTGGACCAAACAATCCATAGACTTTATAGGGGCCTACATTAACTCAGTCACAGCATGAGCCTGCCTACTGACGGACAGGTTCCAGACTCTGCAAGAACTCATAGCCCATGTTGTCAACAATTCTGTCCCAGCCAGGACCTACCTGTCCCTCCTTGGCCACATGGCTTCGTGCACATACGTCACTGCCTTCGCTTGCCTTTACCTTCACTGCTTCCAGATGTGGCTCCAGAAGATTTACTCACTCATGCATCATGCTGTCGACCTCATGTCCTACCCTGGGTACTCCCCTCCACTGGTAGACAGGTTTACATAGGGGTTCCCTTTCTTCCCTCTTCCCCGGACAAGACGATCATCACCAACTCATCCCTCATAGGTTGAGGAGTGCATATGGGCAATCACATGATACAGGGAACATGGACTCCGTGGGAATCCAGGATGCACATCAACATTCTGGAACTCAGGGCTATAAGGAAGGCATGCCAAGTATTTCTCCCATTCATCCGTTCCCATTTTGTTCTTACCATGTCGGACAACAACGCCAATGTTTACTACGTCAACTGTGTACGGACGCAGTCAACCTCTGGAATTGGTGCATCATCCACCAGATTCTCTTATCTGAAGTCTATCTCCCGGGGACACAATGTGATTGCAGACTTGCTCAGCAGACATTTTGTGATCGCCCATGAGTGGGAACCCCATGACACTGTGGTACGTGACATCTTTGACCAATGGGGGACTCTGACCAGAGACCTTTTTGTCTCCCCCTGTCAACAATAAATGCAAGCACGTGCTGCTGCGGGGGCAGAGGGTGTCTTGATCTCCCTTCTCAGGGTGATGCTCTCATACTCCCCTGGTCAGACCAGATCAACTATGCCTTACCTCTTCCGCTCCTACCATGAGTACACCACAAGATCAGACGAGACAGAGCGACAGTCATCCTGATCACCCCTTGCTAGCCCAGACAATTCTGGCTTCCCAACTTCCTCCGCATGACTGCCCATCCCCCAGTTTCCATCCCTACTTTCCCCAATCTACTGACGCAGCATAAGATCAGACAATTCACAAGTGCTTCTCGGAACATTGTATTTGTATGAACAGCGTCTCTAGAACTGACATGTTCATCAGAGGTGCAAAACATCCTCTCTAGTAGCAAGAAAGAGTCCACTAGACATTGTTACCGGGCCAAGTGGAAACACTTTGCCTCCTGGGCCCAACAAAAGGGGCTTTCCCCAGAAGTGGTGGGAATTCCACCTGTCCTTGAGAGCATTG